TCCGATGTTAGACTGGGGGGTAAACAGTTCCATAGAATAGCAGTTCGGAACATGAAGAGAGACTTAGACAATGATTTAAATTTGGGAAGAATGATTTTATTTGATCGTCGCTTACTATTCGTAATCTTGAAATGGAAATCAGCAAGGTAATCACGATGATGGAAAACATATCTGTGAAAAGTAGTGAGACTGATGATTTGACGACGATAGGCTAGTGACTCTAGGGAGCATTTAGAATTTAAGACAGATTTGGAAGAAGTGTAATCAAATGCAATTTTTTCTTTTTCAGTAGAGCTCTAGCAAACCTTGCCTGTAATTGATCAAGGGTGGTCATGGGTTTCTTATTAGATCCAAACGTATGCTACAGTAGAGTCGTGCGCTGAAGAACGTGGAGCCCAAGAACGATCCAGCCTGGAATACTAATAATATCACAGCCTGAAGTTAAGAATGGCAGTGTTGGTTTTCCGGCTGCTTTTGGGATATTGTTATTATGATCCAGGACGGATTGTTTCTAAGAACGTGCTATGTATAAGAACGCAGCCAGATTGCTGAACTTAACTTAAGAAGCCCCAGGCTAACCCCTTGGAAACAACGTTCTTGGTCGTGCGATTCTACTGTATACGCACAGTTCTAGGGGTGCTCTGTCTGATGCTGTCTTTTCAAGAGACGTTTCCACCCGGTCAGTGAACGTCTGTACCGTGGAAACATTTATTCATTTATTTTTATTCGGAAAACACCGAAGGATGTACCCAGAGTGCTGACAGTGCTCAACACCACAAAGGCAGAGCATAATAGGGCTTGAAAGTGATGACGTCAAAAACGGCCTGGGAGTAGTAAATTGACATCAGATTTCTATTTTGGATCCACTAAGGTGTGACTTAGACCAGGCAGGCACAGTGGGTTGGTCAAAGACCATGATTGAGATACGAGAGGTACCTGGTTCAAGTCCTGCCTGGGAGCGGTTTTTCCAGCCGTGCTGCTACCCACAGTCAACTGGGTACTTGTGGCCAGGCACAAGGGGTACATGGATGCAGCTAATGGGGTCGTTCTCGGCACTTGTGCCAGTGGTTGTGAGACTTATCCACTCACCCCCACCGTTAGGCGCTGCATCTGCCGCTAGGATTTACCGGGTGTTAGCGGCCGTCGTGAGTTCCCTTCGGGAACGGACACGATAATTTACTTTTACTTTTACTTTAAGGTGTGACTTTGCTATTGCCTCAGTATGTGGGTGCATAGCAACCCACTCATGTCGTATGCAGGTGCAACTTTTACTTCGCCACCAGTTGTCACCCCGCCCCCACTAGCCAAATCAGTCAGTTTCACTGGCAACAATTCAAGCGTACGCGATGGAGGCAGGAGCAAATTTTGGAGCTCCTGCTCCATCCATGTTTTCTTTCAAAGTATCGAAAGATTGGCCTTCTGACCATAAGTTTATACTGCAGGAACTGTCTGGCAATTCCTTAAACGTGAAAGAGTCTGTCAAGCAGATTGATCTGCATGGGAAACCTGGTTGGTGCCAAGTCACACTTTCAAGTAGAGCTCAGCGCGAGACGGTTTTGAGCAAGGGACTTTGCATACGAGGTGAGCAGTTGGAACTGCATCTCCCCGACGAGGGCTCCACTCAGCTCCATGTGTTTGGTTGCCCTGTCGGAATGCCTGATGGCCCACTTTCGGCATCTTTGTCGGTTTTCGGCAAGCTCATTGGTCCGCCATCACACGGCAAGATCAGCTTCGAAGGCACGTCCTTCAAGACAGGAATCAGGTACGTCAATATCGTACTGTCTAAACCCGTACCGTCGTGTGTGACCGTTGGGAAGCGAAAGTTGCGGGTGTGGCACAGGGGGCAGACCCAGACGTGCTGGCGCTGTGGCACAACGGGTCATGAAGCACGAGAGTGTAAAGTAAGGGCGGGCAGAGAGCCTGAAAGTTCAAGTCGTACTAACAGTAACTCTAGTTCTGAACCTTCAGATTCTGTACCTCAGTTGACCTGCGAACGTGGGAGTACCCGTAGATCTACGAATTGCGTAGGTTCGAACTCTGAAGTGAACTCCAACACATCCCAGCACGGTGACAGTGTATCTAGCATACCCACTACACGCACAAAAGCACAGCAACCTACATCTACGCTGAGTATGGCCAGTGCTACTGCGGGCCCAAGCACGGAGGACGTCATCCAGGTACCTGAGGCAGTGACAGTACGAGCTTCAGAACACCATGACACAGCCGTACCAGTCCCACCTGCCGCGGGACACGTAACTGAACCCGGTGGTAAAGGAGACAACACAACTCCCCAGAAACCTTTTGTGGCTGCATCTTCTAACGACCACGAGCAACACAACAATAGCCTTGCGTCCAATACAAATGCAGTACATGTAACCGGTACTGAAGCAGCTGTAACTTCCACTCCAGCTCCTGGATCTTCTGTCCCTACCCCGGTGCAAGATTGGCACGTAGCAGGTGGAAAGTGTTCTACTTTTTCTCCAATAATCTTGCAACAAACCGCCTCCGCTTTTCCCTCTGTCGCGAACCGCTTTAGTGCCCTGGAGCACTCCATGGAGAGGAAGCGTAAGTGAGGAGCCAGGAGTGACGCATCATCCAGTGCCGACTTGTCCGCGAAGGCTGTCTGCCCGACCACCAAGACAGACGACTTATATGGTACATGTACTGGGTCGGACTGGGAGGAAGAGTGTGAGGGTGACGACGGCCGCGGTAGGAGCCGTCATGAAGTGGTGCAGTGAACTGCACCTTGAAATAGTATGCTTGAACTGCCTGTGTATTTTTGTTTTAGGTTTTGGATTAGTTTCTAGATGTAGTTCTTCCTTATAGATCTATTAAATGAATCCACAATTACATAGAGCTACTGTCGGTCGACAGAAGTCTTGTAAACTTGCTTTTCTGAATGTATGCAGCCTTAGAAAGAAGTTAGGCGAAATCCAAAACTTCATAAACTACCACAATGTAGATATCTTCGGCATTGCTGAAACTTGGCTTGATTGTTCGATTTCTGACTCATCCATTCATATACCTCATTATAGACTCTTTAGGCGCGATCGCGGGCACAGACCTGGTGGCGGTATAGCTGTATACAGTCGAGATACCCTGGCTGTTTCCAGACACGCTGAACTCGAGAGTGACACAATCGAAAATCTGATACTCACCTTGAAGACAGAATCCGGTGAACCCATCACCCTCGCTACGTTCTACCTTCCGCCTTCCACTACTGCTGCAGTATGGCAAGACCTAGAAATCAGTCTGAACAATCTAACCTTGCGACGAAACAACCGCGTGGTCGCCATTGGTGACTTCAATGTGGACATGTGCTCGGGACACAGCCGGATGCACACCATGCTCCAGCGGTTTGATCTGGAAAACCACATCCGCACACCGACAAGAGTAACGGCATCAACTTCCACCCTAATAGATCTGCTCCTCGCCCCTAACTCTCTAGTTGGAACATGCACGGTCATCAAGTGTGACATCAGCGACCACTACGCATTTGTGGCCAACATTATCGTCGCCACCCGGCAGTCCGAACGAGTCGCATCTCGAAAGAGGCGAGTGTGGAGGATAAACTGGGAGCATTTTAACGCTGACTTGCAGGACTGCAATCTTGAGATTTTCAGCAAGTCGAATGATGTTGATGCAATGATAAGCGAATGGTACGCAAAGGTTTTTACTGCTCTAGATCGTCACGCCCCCTTACAACCTCCTCGTAAGCCGAGGCGCCGACCTTGCCCATGGTTGTGTACTGAACTTGTATCTGCTGTGCGTCAACGAAACAAGGCCCACCGACTTCTTTCACGCTCTCCAAACGATGTCCGCCTGCGAGAGCAACACCGCACTCTCCGCGCAGCCGCGCGCAAGCTAGATCGGAGGCTAAGGGATCAGTATTTTCAAGCTCGCCTACAGTCGGCCGGAAAGGATGGACGGAAGCTCTGGAATACGATAAACGTGGTGACTGGACGAGCGAAAAGTTCAAGCCCACCACAAGTACCTGTTGGAA